CAATATATGAATGAGGTGGGGGGAGACAGATATTCAGCCTATAACATTCTGCCCATTATCCCCCTAAAATCATATTCTTAATGCACGCAAAATACATTCATTCTGCCCTAGCAACTTCAAAAGTCTTAACTCATTCCAGCATCAGCTCTAAAGTCTATAGTCGAAAGTCTCATCTAAATATCATTTACATCTGATATGAGTGAAACGCGAGATACAATTTATCCTAAGACAATTCCTCTCCAGCTTTGAGCTCATGAAGCCATGTAAGTTTTGTGTTTTGAAAATACTATGGTGGGACAGGCAGAGGATAAACATTTCCATTCCAAAAGAGAGAAATTAGAAGGAAGAGAGGGGTGATGGGTCCTAACCAAGTCCAAAATTTAGCAAGGCATATTCCATGAGATCCTAAGGATCAAGAATAATCCTCTTTGGTTTGATGCTATGTCCTCTGGACCCACTGGGATGGGGGTCACTCCCCTCTACCCCCTATGCTTCAGGCTTCCTTTCCGAGGCACTTACCTGTTGATTCTATCTGCAGTTATGGTCCCCCACCTTTGAAACCGAGAAGAGTACCCTGATGATACCTGAATTGTTTTTGGAATTATTCTTTCTTGTCTTTAAAATAGCGTGCATTCACAGCGAAATAGCTCTGTGGTCCAGTCCTGTAGGATCTAAGAATTCCTAACAGCCTGTAGCACATGGTTTCAAGCATCAGATGGTTCCACATGGCTTGTTATGAAATACACAGCAGTCTTCTGCTCTCTTCTGCTCTTTTTCCATCTTCTTTTTGGTGTTTACCTCCACATTCTAAAATGCTTATTTTACTGCCTCGACTTCTCACAGTAAACATTATTTATTATTGCCTTATTGCTGTCAGAAGATTTGCACTCCTTCTCTAGGGGAGAATTCTTGTTGGAAAGACTGCGGCAAGAAGTTTGGTGTGACTAGAAGGATAATTGGGGTGTGGAGAGGGTCTTGGTGGCAGGGAGACCAGACAGGAAGGGGAGGATATTACAGTGGTCCAATGAAGGAAGAGGCACTGAGGGTTTTTTAAAATTGAGGAGTAACATACATTCAGGTAAGTGCATAAAATACATCATGCTCCATGACTTTTTACCTGTGTGTGTACTGTGTCTCCAGTACCTCTCTCAAGATGTAGAACATCTCCAACCTCCTTAAAATTCCCTGGTGCCCCACAGGAAGGTCTTGAACCAAGGCACACAAATTCATTACTGGTTCTAGAATGAAGTCCGAAAATGAGGTGGAGCTAAAGAAGACTCCAAAGTTGGGAGACTGGGTAGACCGGGTGGTGATGCTGCCAACCAGGTGGGTGATTCAGGAGGATAATCTGGTTTTAACTGAGGGAGGAGTGAAGATGGTGAGAGGAGTTCAGCTTCAGACTTGTTGAGTTGGGATGTCCAAGTGGGACTTACAGGTGGCAGGTTGAAATGTAAATTTGGAGTTCTGGGGAGAATTTGGAATTGACATGTAGATTTGTGCATACTTACCAGCATTTACAGTCTGTTTGAGAGCTAGCAAGTAGATGACAGTTCTCTAGAGAGGCTGTAGATAGAGACCTGAGGTTATCATGAGAGGCATATGTTGCTTTTATTAACTCTGTTTTAGTCCAAATAGTGAATAAAATCAGTGAGAAAATTCATTAAACATTTTTAAAACAAAATGATAAATGAAAATTCAGTATGTGTACTCTCGTAAAAATGAAAAAGCAAATTGGTTCAGAGGGTTATAAATAGAAAGTAGGCGTTCTACCTCTATGCCACTCCCCACTCCAATTTGTGTCTCCTTCTAGATGGTTTTAGTGCATATATATTGTTTATGGTTTATCTTGATTATACCTTTCCATTATTGCTTTGGTTAAGAGTCTTTTTTCAGCTGTTTAATAAGTGTAGTTGATAGCCTATAGACATGTGAACAAAATGGCTTATTGGTTTGGTTTTTTCCCCTCTCCTCTTCTTGTAATGTGTTTTATGATGATGTGCTTATGATTTTGACTGAAAAAAAAATTTCTTCTTTGGCCTTTTTTTCTTTTGCATTTGCTTGAAAAAAATGTTACTTTTCAAGCAAACTATCTTGGTTTTCGTTGGAGTACTTAAATCTTCCCTTGATTAATAATACTAGCACTGTTACACTCTTTTTATGTTTAATGTGAGCAGACTGAACTGTTGTTTTTTTTTTAACCTGGAGGGAGTGATAAGCTAATATTTTTCTTGATTGCCTTGTTAACAGTGTAATTCTTGTTAGAATGAATGAAAGACCTCTTAAGAGCCCTCTTGCTTGGTGAATCCAGAATATGAAATACCCTGGAAGAGTTTGTAGCCCATGTTTTGTGTAGTGTGAATTTGACCTCCAATGTAGTTGAGACTAAAAGGTATTAGATGTGGGTTCTGGAAATGTCCTAATATTAATTGTGCAGTCACTGTAACTTGCTTAAACCCTTCTGTTACAGGGTACTTACTGCTGAAAGAACAAAAAGCATAATGTGTATTTTCATTCATTCAGCAAATGCTTATTGAGCTTCTGTAAGGTGCCACTTTCTGTAATACTAATAGTAGTAAAAGGAAACATTACTGAGTACTTACTATTTGTTAAGCACTTAATAAATACTCTCCTGAGTGCTAGATGTGTGATAATGAGCAAAATAAGCCTGGTGCTTTCCCTTATGGAACATTATACATGTATAAGATGGTAATACTACTATTCTTTTCCATTTTTTATTTAGATTCAATTAGCCAACATATAGTACATCATTAGTTTCAGATGTGGTAATACTACTATTTTTATTTGAATCATGTCAAATAAAATTTAGCATCAGTAATTGAAGATCAAGTAATTTTTTTTCTCTGATTTCTAAGATTTTGTCAACTACCAGAGGTTTGCCTATCAGTTGGCCTGTACATTCTCGCCCTGAATAATCAGAGTGATCTGTGTTTTGACTGAGGCTGTTTTCCAAAAGTTACTTCATAGATGAATCTCGGTTCCTTAAAATGCAGTTAAAGTGACACTGTGATAGAATCACAATATTTAAAAGCAAACTAATGATTTAACTTCCTCCTTCCTAGACCATCCATTCAACTGTATGAATATACTTGGTCTTGCTGGTTTGGGTGTGCCTCAGATCAAGTCGGATATCTTTTAAAGGGATCCACCCACAGCATTCCTGACGTATAAATCTGTCACACATTTGTTAGAGACTTAGGAGCTCTGAAAATTGCCTTACTTTTTACTAGTATGTTCTATTGAGAGAAAACAGTCTCAGAGTTAAGGAGAGTTGGGTATTGGTATTAAATACAATGTTCTTTTAGATACAGTTTTTTAAAGAGATGATCAGAATATTATTTTTGTTGTGTTTTAAGTGTTTTTGATTTTCTTTGTCTGGCTTTATAGCTTGTTTATGTGCTATATTATTAATTTTTAAACAATCTCTTCAGTTATTGGCTCACTTGTAGCTATTCTGTTCTAAACACATTGCAGCCTTGCTCCTGCATAAAAGTTTAAGTAGTAAACGTTGGCACAGATTTCCACCCCTTTGAGGAAGAGATTGTTGAAGACCTGTATCAGTTTTTCAAATAGTTTTCAGAAGTTCTTTAGGCCATCGAATTGAAGCAGTGACAGCGGATTCCAAGGATCATGCCTATCTGAAAGCCTTTCCCTTGCTAAGAACAACTATTTCTTTTCCAGCTGTTCTGACTTGCAGCATTCAGGTAGCTTTCCCCAAAGAATATTATTGGGATATAATATTCTAAAATATATTAACCCTTGGATCAAGTTGCCTGAGAGGTCAAGAAAGAATCTTTTATTCTTTCATAATAGGGGCTTTTCATAACTCTAGTACAGTCCTCAGTTGAAAATATGTTCCTGGTAAATAGGGAGTGAGCATCCTCACTGCAGTTGGCTGTTTCAAAGTTAAGATTAAAGTTAACACACAAACTTCTCTGTTGAGATTTTTCCATAAAAGATTTCCATTAAGATTGGCCAAAAAGTAAAAAGCTTTAAGCTCTGAGATCAAAAGTGCAGTAGCTTGGTATCTGTATATTAAAATTCAAGTATCCCAAAGGATGAAACCAGGGATAATCTTAAAAGTGGAAATGGATACTTAGGTCAAGATGAAGGGGGACAGAATGATTTCATGACAGTTACTGATCACTCTTAACTGTTTTTCCCCTTGTGTTGCTTTCTACTTTCTGCTTCTGTACAGTGCTGAACCACTGTTATGTAAGCATTTTACTTTTATGCATTATTTATTTATGTTACCACAACAGAGGCTGTTAATAAACCACAGGTTTCTGCAGGGGCCTAGTGCTGGTCATTATTTGGAATACGACGGCTGGTGGCTTTAAGACTATAGAACAGGAAAAAAAAAGACTCTACAGCAGGAAAACATAAATATTTTTGTTTATTCTAGGACTGATTTACTTTGACTACTTCATTTGTAAACTAATATACTATTTTTCAGGATAGGCTTTTTCTTTGTTGATTCGTTTTTTTATCGGCTTTATTAGAACAAAGGAAATTATACACACTCCAACCATAGTGTTTTAAGATTAGTTAAAAAATCAAATAATGACAAAAATGAGTGTTAAGCATTGTTCTTAGGCAGTTCCTTCTCTGTTTTTCTTTCTTTACTGTTTATTTAAAGTATATATAACTTAAAATATTTCTGTTGAAAAAAATTATGCCCTGATAGATCTTAGTGGATTTTTTTTGACTATTAGAGAATTCTGAAGTTATGCAGATCTGTAAGGAATTAGGTTTTAAGTAGTAATCTTTTTCGTGGGATCGAAATAAATGTTTTATTTTTTATTTTTTTATTGTTATGTTAATCACCATATATTACATCATTAGTTTTTGATGCAGTGTTCCATGATTCATTGTTTGTTCATAACACCCAGTGCTCCATGCAGAACGTGCCCTCCTCAATGCCCATCACCAGGCTAACCCATCCCCCCACCCGAAATAAATGTTTTTAACCTCTGTTTTAGATCCATCATGTTACACAAAATGGAGGACTTTACAAAAGACCATTTAATGAAGCTTTTGAAGAAACACCAATGCTGGTTGCTGTGCTTACTTATGTGGGGTATGGTGTACTCACTCTCTTTGGATATCTTCGAGATTTCTTGAGGCATTGGAGAATTGAAAAGTGTCATCATGCAACAGAAAGAAAAGAACAACAGGTAATTGTTAAGAGTCTTCGATTCTGTAAATGGAAGCCTTTGATAGACATTCTGGTATTCTCACTCATTTTTTTATTTAGAAATTTGGATACACGTGGGTCGCCTGGGTGGCTCAGTCAGTTAAGTGTCTGCCTTTGGCTCAAGTCATGATCCCGGGGTCCTGTGATTGAGCCCCACATTGGGCTCCCGGCTCAGCGGGGAGCCTGCTTCTGCCTCTCCCTCTGCTGCTCCCCCTGCTTGTGTGTGCGCTGTCTCTCTCTCTCAAATAAATAAAATCTTAAAAAAAAATTTGGATACACATTAAAATAAAAATATTCCAGATGCAGTTAAATGAAAGTATTTTACAAAGACAGCAGAAAACAAGGTTAAGGCATGGAAAAATCAAAGCATTTAACGTATTTCTTCTTTTATTTTTTAAAGGTCTATTTTTTTTTTTTTTTAAAGATTTTAGTTACTTATTTAACAGACTGCGGGAGAGGGAACACAAGTAGGGCAAGTGGGAGAGGGGAAACAGGCTTCCCGCTGAGCTGGGAGCCCGATGTGGGGCTGGAGCCCGATGCGGGGCTGGAGCCTGATGTGGGGCTGGAGCCCGATGCGGGGCTGGAGCCTGATGTGGGGCTTGATCCCAGGACCCTGGGATCATGACCTGAGCCTAAGGCAGATGCTTAATGACTGAGCCACCCAGGCGCCCCTAAAGGTCTATTTCTTTATTTGAGAGAGAGTGCACGTGCATTGGCACTGAGGGGAGGGGCAGAGGGAGAGAGAATCTCAGGCAGGCTCGCTGCTGAGCTGGTTGCTGAGTTGGGCTCCTGGGCTCAATCCCAGGACCCTGAGATCATAACCTGAGCTGGAACCAAGAGTTGGATGCTCACCCGACTGAGCCACCTAGGCACCCCACATTTAACATATTTCCATTTTAATCATCACCAGAATCTATTCCTATATGATGAATGAGAAAGCTAAAATGCACAAGTTAAAATAACATTTCCTGAGTTGCTTAGTGTCAGAGCTGGTAACACAGACATGGGTCTGTGAAATGCCAGAAGCCATGTTCTTTATGTTCGTGGTATTGTGCTGTATCCCAAGCTGTGGCTCCAGTCTTCTGAGAAGACAAAGAAGTTCTGGAAGACTTACGAGGTATTTTCTCATAGACACATTATACATAGGTGTTTGGCTCACAGATAGCTCCTTTCCCCAAACAAGCCTGAAAACAATGTTGCTGAGCTACTCTGTTCACAGTTAAAAAAAAAACAAAAAACAAAACAGTCTTGTTTTAGTAATTGTAAATAGAGATGATAATGATTGTCTCTGGGGGGAAGGACCCCAACTTCACTTTTCTCTGTATACTCCTTTGCACCTCTAGAGTTCTGTACAGGATACATGTGTTGCCTATTCTCAAAAATAAATAAAATTAGAGTGAAATGCCTGGTTTTTCTAAAAACAAACGTGTTTGTTCTTGGCATGTGAAGTATGGAGAGGTTGTCCTCTAGCCCAAGGAATATACTAGGTTAGAGAAGGGTTTCCGAAGTTAGATTTTTTGGCCATCATACCTCTCATTTTTGTGGGGTATTAGAGGAGAGAGGCAGATGTGATGGCAGCAAGGTCACCACTGAGAGAGGAGCCATTAGATACTGGGAATGGGTGGTGGTCCTGTGGCAGGAAGGGCAAGGGAGCATCTAGAAACGTGGGGAAAGAAGGGATCCAAACCAGTCAGTATGGGGATTGAAGATTCTGGTCCTGGGAGAACCCAGGATCCAGGCTCTCTTCTGTCTCATCTGAGCCATTCTGCGCCATTCCCAGCCCCAGCACCACAAGTTGGTCCTCCTTCTCATTGCCCTGAGATGCCTACGTATTCATTTCATCAAGAAGGTATTTCTTGAATACCTAATGCAAGCAAAGCCCTGTATTCACAGCTTGGTCCAATAGGCCAAACTAGTTTTGATCATTGAAAACCAGAACAAATTTTTAAATTTTTTGATTCTTCCTTTTATCTACCTCTGTACATCCCAAATAGACTTTGTGGCTAGAGTGCATCGACAGTATGTTGATTCTGTACATCACTCAGGTATGACCCACTTACTATAAGTTAGAGCTTACTGTATACTTGCGGGGTTGTCTGGTATTACAGTTACTTGTTTACAGGCCAGTATCTTCCTGTCATACTGAGTTGATGGTGGTTGTGACTGATGGAAGCTAAAGTTTTATTCCCATATTCAAATTAGAAAATCTTTTTTTATAGGGACCTCTCCTAGTGTGGACACACTGTAGAGACCTGCTAACTAACATGTGAAGGTGGGGGTCGGGGGTGCTGATTGTGATGTGGAGAGCCATCCTGGCTGAGGGGAGGCATGAGGGATGTTTGGGAGAACCTGGAATGTGGGTGTATGAAAGCTTGTGTTTTGAATGTCAAACGAACTTTGGTAGGCAGTGAGGAATCTGGGTGGTTTTTGCACAGGGGTGTGACAGGAGAGATTGCACAGCTGGTGTTCTATCAAAGTGTGCTGAAGAATGAGTGAAACAATGGAGCTGTATCCAAATTACTTTGTGAAAAAGTACATTATGTTTGGAACTTATTTCATGTTCCAGAGGATGAATTGACTCCTGAGTATTGTGGTGGCCTGTGTGTACTTGACCTATGTATTAAAGTATTAGAACATATAGATTTCATTCTTAAGTATTATTTCTGATTTTGTTGAGGAAACATAAAGTCTTCAAATCTAACAGGTCTTTGTAAAAGCCCTGTACACGTAAGTAGTGTTTGAATTGTATGCAGATGTAGAACAAAAAAATAACTGAGTAGCATCGAGTTAATCAGGAAATAATTCTTGGAGGAAGAAGTAATAGGAGAAAGTATGTGGGACAGAGGGGAACATTTGCTAATTTGAAGGACTATGCTAATTTATTCAAATTCATTTCAGTAGGCTTTTCACGGTAGATAACATTAACAGTCAAACCAACTGAATTCTGCCATTTTCTTACAAAAATTCAGCCTTTAGAGGGAAGGAAGATCATTCAGCCTTATGGTAGAACATGTTTGTTTTCTGATTCTGGATTAGATGTAGTGAGAGGGATATGCAAATTTTAAGGTGTTACACTGGAAGAGGTTAGGGAAAGTGCCTGGTTGGGATCATAAAATTCAAATAGAATGTTGCCACTTCCTCATTTCACTGCGTGAATGGTGTTTATAACCACATCCTTATTTTCTTCCTCATTCCATTATAAAAGAGAGTCCATCTTAACTATTTATGCTGGTTCTTCATATGTTGCTTTGGGTAGAACTGAGTCCCATGGTCCCACTCTAAAGATAAGTTAGGGGCGCCTGGGTGGCTCAGTTGGTTAAGTGTCTGCCTTAGGCTCCTGTTTTGGTCGTGGGGTTCTGAGACCAAACCCCAACCCTGCATCAGGCTCCCTGCTCAGCGGGGAGTCTGCTTCTCTCTCTCCCTCTGCCCCTCCCCCCATATGTGCTTTCTCTTTCTCTCTCTCAAATAAATAGAATCTTAAAAAAAAAGCAAAAGAAAAATTTTAAATTTTTCAAAAATAAAGATGAGTTAGGCTGAGTTTGTTCTATTTAAATTGCAAAAAATTCTTTGAATTCTTTACTGCTTGATCCTCTGTCATTAGTGTTGTTTTGGATGAGACTGTTGTTTTTCCCAGTCTGTGGTCTGTTTCTTTTTTATGTGAGGTGAAACTAGCACTCCAGAATCATGTATGTGATTAGATAAAGCAAAAGGTTGAATTTAAAATGTTCTAGTATTGGGCGCCTGGGTGGCTCAGTCGTTAAGCGTCTGCCTTCGGCTGAGGTCATGGTCCCAGGTTCCTGGGATTGAGTCCCACATCAGGCTCCCTGCCCAGCAGGAAGCCTGCTTCTCCCTCTCCCACTCCCCCTGCCTGTGTTTCCTCTCTCACTGTGTCTCTCTCTGTCAAAAAAATAAAATAAAATAAAAAATAAAATGTTCTGGTATCTAGATAGGAAATACCTAGGAGTCTAAGGAGCAAATGATGGCAGGTGGTTACCACACACTTACTAAACCTAACATTTTGCCTCTACAGTTTGTTCATGACCACATATTAAAAAATGGGAGGGATAGGATATTAGGAAGGAACATTATGTGTTCATCTCCTGATATGTTTAATTTTCAAGATACAAAAGAAGGAAATTGATTGAAATATATTAACAGGAATTCCTGGAAGGATTTTATTCTTGACCTCCTTTAAAAAGTAGTATACTGAGAATATTCTGATAACTGTCATTTTAGCAGTATCTTTGGAAACTATTAATGTAGTACAGTTACTTGATGTATTAAGCTGGTGGATTATCAATTAGTTTGTCTTTTTTAGTTCTGGGGATTTACAAAGAGCTCTACGTGCCATTGTTTTATGTGTGTGGAGACCCGGATGGCAGTCCTCTATTTTTTTTTTTAATAACTTCATTGAGATATAATTTATATACCATAAAGGTCACCTGTTTAAAATGTGTAATTCAGTTGTTTGTAGCATTACAGTTGACCCTTGAAAAAGGTGCCAACTCTTCCCCCATGCTGCTGAAAATTCATGTGTAACTTTTGACTCCCCTAAAACTTAACTGCTGTTGACCCAAAGCCTTGCTGATAACATAAACAGTCAATTAACACATATTTTATAAGTTGTATTATACACTGTATTCTTATAATAAAGTAAGCTAGAGAAAAGAAAATGTTATTAAGATTATAAGGAGGGGTGCCTGGGTGGTTCAGTCGTTAAGCGTCTGCCTTTGGCCCAGGTCATGATCCCAGGGTCCTGGGATCAAGCCCTGCATCGGGTTCCCTGCTCTGTGGGGGAGCCTGCTTCTCCCTCTCCCACTCCCCCTGCTTGTGTTCCCTCTCTTGCTGTGTCTCTTTCTGTCAAATACATAAAATCTTAAAAAAAAAAAATTATAAGGTGAAAATACATGTATTGTACTGTACTTTATTGGGAAAAATCTGTGTGTAGGTGGACCTGCACAGTTCAAACCCATGTTGTTC